AAAACATGTATGAGCGACGGAAAGAACCGTTGTGTGGGGATCCGTGTGTCCACCGCCAAGGTTAAGACACAGGCACACTCTGGCCCCTGGGAGCCCCCCCCCCCCCGACGCTCCTCCTGGTCACTGCCCTTTCTTGTCATCCACAAACCACTCTGGGCTGGCCTGTTTTTGAACTTGACATAAATGTCACCATTGCATATGTGGTCTGTTCTGACCTTGTTCTTTGGGTCACTGTTACTCAGGCAGACATCCGTCTGTCGTGGGGGGCGGTGCCGACTCATCCTCGTCGCTCAGAGGATTCCACTCGGACTGGGCTGTGATGGACCTTCTGGCGTCCGCTCTGCTGGGTGTGAGTCCAGTGGGCACGCTTGGCCCGTGTGGCTGGCGCCCCCTTCGGGCGGCGAGAGGACATGGCCCTGGGCCGGCGGTGAGCCCGTCGCTGGCCTTGGGGGCCTCTCCGTCGTCACAGATCCGCAGTCGAGTATCGTTTAGGTTTGTTGTTTGGCCACAAAGGTGTCGTCAGCGGTGAACTGTCTTCTCAAGACCTCTCCTCACTTTCCTGTCGAGGTGTCTGTTTTTTCCTCCTTAATTTGTTGGCGTCGTTCATAGACCCTGAGTGGACGGCATTTCTTCAGCACGCAGAGATGGCTGTCTCAACATGTGTGACCTCTCTTTTCATTATTTTTATAGTCTGTTTTTAAAAGCAGAAGGGCCTTGTTTTTATGTCGTAACATTTATCAGTAGATTAATTTTTTTTTTATAATCCTCACCCGAGGACATTTCTGCATTTATCTTCAGGGAGAGGGAGAGGGGGAGAGGGAGAGGGAGAGAGGGAGAGAAACATCGATGTGAGAGAGACACATGGATCGGTTGTCGCCTGCATGACACCGACGGGGTCTGGGGATCGAACCTGCAACCCAGGTACGACATGCCCTTAATTGGAATCGAACTCAATCCTCCGGTCTGAGGGCCGACGCTCTAACCACTGAGCCAACAGCTAGGGCAGTCAAGCACATTGGATTTTATTTATTATTTACTTATTTATTTTTTATCCTCACCCGAGGACATTTTCCCATTTTTGTTCAGATAGAGTGGGAGGGAGAGGAAGAGAGGGAGAGAGAAACATCGATGTGAAAGGGACACATCGAGTGGTTGCCTCCCGCACGACCCAATCAGGGCTGGGGACAAACTGCAACCCAGGTACGTGCCCTTAGCGGGAACCGAACCCGGGTCTTTCTGGACCGCAGGCCGACGGTCTAACCGCTGAACCAAACCGGCCAGGGCCACGTTTTATTTTTTAATTAAAAAAATTTTTTTTTCTTTATTGATTTTAAAGAGAGAGGAAGTGAGAGAGAGAGAGAGAAACATCAATGAGAGAGAACACCAATTGGCCGCCTCCTGCACGCCCCACACTGGGGATCGTGCCCACAACCTGGGCATGTGTCCTCACTGAGAATCGAACCAGCGACCTTTAGGTGCAGGGGTCAATACTCAACCTCTGAGCCACACCGGTCGGACCCCATGCACATTTTGAGAGCTCTGGATCTGCATTGCCAAATGACTCCCCAAAAGAATTCTGCCAGTTTCACCATAGCCTTACCGGCACTGGGTGTTACCTTTATTTTTGTATTTTCTTTTGGTGGTGGTTGTGTTTGGGTCATTATTTGATGAGCCTAAATGGCGGCTCATGGTACTTTTTAAATGTACGCGTCCCTGATTCTGCGGGAGGTGGAGCATCACCCGTGCCCTTGCCAGCTGACCTCCTCCTCTGCCCTGGGGCCGTTGCTCCCGCCTTGTGGGTGCTTCCCAGTTTGACCGAGATCTCTACATGATGAAGTTATTTCTCCGTCACATTTGCCACCAGGTCTCCCCTGCTCTTTACCTGTCTTTCCACTTTTGTTATTATTTTTTCCCCTTTTATTCTTATTTGGTCAAACCTGCCTCTCGTTTCTCTTACGATTTATTCTGTTCCTCTGGAGCTGGGAGATCTGCCTCCCTCCTGAGGACTGGTAGGCACTGAATTCTGTTTTCATGTGGCCCTGCTGTCCTGGCTTGATGTTTCGCAGGGAGCTGTTCACTCCGTCTGGAATCTGTGGGGCTGTGGGGTGTGAAGGAGGAGTTCATTGCTGCTCCCTGTACCAGGGGAAGGGGCCTCATTTGCACTTCCGTGTCTCAGGGCGCCCCCCTCGGGTCCTGGCCAAGTGGGGAGAGATTAGAGGGGGGGAGGGGCCCTGCGGCAGCAGGTGTGGGGATTGTGGAGCTGTAATTACCATCAGGATGGTCCCAGCCGTGTCTCTGCCTGATGACGTTAAATCAAAAGCAAAGAGCTGGAGGTGCAGCTTAGCAGCATCCCGGGTGACCCTGGGCCAGTCTCTCCGTGTGTTTGGGCCTCAGTTTCCTCATCGCGAAATGGGGGTGCAAGGGCGGCGGGAGCCCGGGCGTGCGGAGCACATCCCTGCGCAGAGCAAGGGCCAGGCGGGCCCAGCACAGATCTTGGCTCATCTGTGTGACCTTGGGCAAGGGACATCACTCCCTGGAACCTCACGTCCATGGTGATGATACCACGGTTCCCAGCTCACGGGCTCTGGGGAACTGTCCGTGGTGTTTAGTGAGTCCGCCAGCCACACAGCACTACATGGTGGTGGCCTTGTGATGATCATTTTTGGGGAGAAAGGGAGCCTCGTGGGGGGGGGGTTGTCCTTTATGGTCTCTGGGCGGGGCCTGGCCCTGCTTTATGGGGAGGGGGAGGGGTGGATGAGTGGGGAAGGGAGACTGGGGGGAGCAATGGGATGGTGAGCAGGGCCACCCTGTGTGCCAGGCGGTGGTCTGGGCCTATGGTAATGCCAGCCTGGGGGCTGGCAGAGTTCTTGGCCCCAGAGAGAGCCCTAAGTGTCCCATCAGGGTGGTTGGGAAATGACATTGGAGCTGGACTGTGGATGATGAGGAGTCTGGTGGGTAGATCTGGGAGGAAGCCTTTTAGTGGGTCACTGTCAGGTGCAAAGGTCCTGAGGTGGCCACATACCACCTCAGGGTGTGGGTGTGGTGGAGGAAGGACAGAACCTGGAGAAGGGCACGGCCCAAGGGTGGCAGGTAAGGGGGGGCACACCTGCCCAGAGCCGCCAGCTGCCCCATTTCACAGGTAGCATGGGAGGTGGCCCAGAGGCGGAGTCTGCCTGCTCGTGGGCCTCCCTGGCCTGGCTGGTGGGGACGGACAGCGGGCGGGGCGGCACAGCTGTGGGGAGGCAGGGCTGCTGGCGTCAGCAGGAGACCTCCTCCCCCTGGCTAAACAATCATTGCACAAAATATGCAAATGATATAATTACTGTTATTTGTTTTGCTGATATAAGTGTTTGAAATGCAAATGTCAAGTTTGGGCGCTCTCCGTCCCCACCCCTCTTACCCAGCTTGCAAGTCGGGGAGTGTTCTGGTCCTGGAAGGAGGAGGAGGGTTGGGGGGCCCCTCACATGCGCCTCCCCCTCCGGCTCCAGGGGAGCCAGGCTGGGCTTCGCTCGCACAGCCACTTCTTCCGCTGCCTGAGGGGCACGGCTCGGAGGGGTGCAGGGCCCCCCCAACTGCACACAGGGCCTGAGAAGGGCCTCGCAGTGCACCCCATCTGGGGCCAGTTGCCTGGCCTCTTGCAGCCTCGGCTTACCCATCTGTGTCATGGGGTGCAGCCCCCTCTGGGGCGAGCTAGTGCCTTGAGAATTCGATCAGGGGTTTGGGCCTCAGTTTGGGTTGTCAGGGTGACAGGGCCCAGGAGAGGCCAGCAGGTGTTGCTGGGACAGGGAGTGGGCACAAGCCTGGATGGAGGAGGGGCCGGGGGCTGGGGTCTCAGCTCGGCCCCTCAATTCTTAGTCCAATTACCTTTTCCAAGACAGGTCCCGCCTCATTTGCATATTCAAATGCAGACCATTATTATTTCAATTAGCTGTTAAGTAATTAGCTCTAATTGATGAGCATTCCCCCCACTTCCCCATATTTTTTGGTTATTTACATCCGCTTCTAACCAACAATTTTAGGTAATTACATGCCACTCACTCATCTATTTGCACACACACACACACACACACACTTCCTCACAAGGCAGGTTTCTTCTCGCCTTTCATTTCTCAGCCCCAGAGCCTGGAGAGGCTTCGCGGTGGGGGTGCGGGGGTGCAGGCGCCGAGCTGGGGACACTCGGATCCTGCCCAGGCCCTCCTGAGGGTCCCCACTGGCCTCCAGGGGCTGAAGGTGAACCAGAGTCCCCCTCAGACCTTGCTCCCCGAATCACTCTTGTCCCAGAGATACCGCGCTGCTGCCTCTGGGCACCCCCCGCCCCCCGGCAGTGCCGCCTGAGTGGGTGAGTGCCTGCCTTCAGTCACGCGTGCAGTGCGCATCGCGGCAAAGGCTCTGTCCTCCCAGCTCCGTGCCCCCGGCGAGAGGGCGCCCCTCTCAGCCTCAGTTTCCCTGCCTGCGAAATGGGGGTGCAGTAAACACCGAGTGAGGGTGAGCGGAGCTGATGCGTGGACAGTCCTCCACACAGATGTGATGTCCAGGTCGGGGCTGAGCCAGCGAGCGACTGAGCAAATGCGCGGACCTGGAGAGAGGGGCTGGGAGTTGCAAGGTCGCAGGCTCCGGTCCTGACCTGGTGCCCTCCCGAGCCCATGGCGGTCTGGTCTGGCAGGGGTGCGGGGGTGGAGGAGGTGCTGGTGGAGAGAGCCCTGTCTGGGAGGGACTGGTCCCGGCTGACTCCGGGGCCTTGGTCACAGCTGTTTTTTCTGCCTCGGTCTCACGGAGGGATATGGGTGACTGTGCCTTCAATGTCCAGCTGACCCCACAGCTCCCGAGACCCCCACCCCAACTCCAGCCCACGGCCAGCCTGCTCTGTGTCTGTCTTGTCTCTGTCATCGCCCCGCCTTTGCCTGCTCTGGCCTCCTGGAGTGGTGGCCTGTCCGGCTTCACTGGCTGGTTCTCCGCGGTCTAGCTCCCACGGTCGGTGTGCAGGACGGGACCTTCCCGAGGCAGAGCTGCCAGCAGGTGCCCCCTCCCCGCTGCAGTGAGCCCACCATGCTGACCGCCTGGACTCAGCTCTTCCCGCGTGTCCGGCAATGAGATGTGCGTGACCCCGAGGAGAGGAAGCCGCTAGCCTGTCCCTTGACGTGCCGGGTCATCGGCGGGCCCTGACCCAAAGGTAAGCGGCGCTCCTCAGACCCTCAGCAAGGGGACAGGCGTGCTGGGGCCCCGGGCCAGGCCTGAGGCACGGGTCCGACCCCGTGTTCTGCAGGACGAGCATCCCTTAGGGGCGGTCTCTTGTTGGGAGGTGCCAACAGAGAAAAGGGGTGAAGGGCAAACGGTCCGCCTCAGGGTGTGACCAGGGGAGCTTGGGGTTCGGGGCCCTGGAAGGTCTGAGTAGGAGGGGACGTGCTCACTCTGTGGACGACGCGGCTCATGTCAGTACCGACCACATGTATCTGAGGAAGGTCTTACGTGGAAAACACGCCCTAACATGCAGGGCTGGCGTGCTCCCCGCAGATCTGGTCCGGCCCCTGCTCTGTCCTTCCTTCCCGCGCTTCCGGCCTTCCCAGCTGTGGTCACATCAGGCTCACCCTGCCTGCAGCCGGGACCCTCGGGCCTGAGCCCCAAGCCCTCGCCCCTGGTGGGCGTCTGTGCGCTTCGTCTCTCTCACCCCAGGCCTGTGCTTGCCCCTCCGCCTCCGGAGCCGGAGTGGCGTGCCTGTCAGCCTGGCCAACTGGGAAGCCAGGCGGCAAAACAGGGGGCCGCGGCTCCCGCGGGCCTGGCTGGGGGCGCAGGGCCACGCGGGGCTTCTTCCGGAACCTGGGGGCCGCGCCTTTTGCAGGATCCCTTCCAGACGAACGCTCGTCATTCAGAATGTGGGACTTCCTCGTTCTCCTCCCGCCCACCCCCATCTCCTGGTCCCAGGGTCTCGTCCTGAGACGTTGCTTTTATTGAACAACAACTGAGTCCAGAGGAACCTTCCGTGTGTTCCTGCTGGCCACGCCCCGGCCCGTGGCCGGCACTGCTCAGCACCAGGGACAGAGCCTCCGTGAGCCCCCTGGCCGGGCAGGCCCCTGCTGCGCGGAGAAGGGGCTGTCCTGGCGGGGCTGTCCTCCCAGGCCTGGGTGTCCTTCCCTGGGGGTGGGGTGATGCTTCCCCAGCAGAGCTGGTGGGACATATTGGTGACTCGCTCAAGGCCACCAGCAAACTGTCACCACCCGTCCCCTCCCGCGCTCCTGCAGGCCGGCTCCCCTCCCCCAGCCCTCCGAGGAGCAGTTATTTATCTGCCTGACGGTGACAGGCAGCAGTGGCTGGAGTTAGACCGCTGTCCAGAGATCAGCTGGCGGCGACAGAGCAAACAGCCCGAGCTAATTAGGAAAAGGTCACACCAGCTCCGGAGGCTGGCGTCAAAGTCGGGCCTCGCTGGCGGACGGGAGGCAGCTGGGACTTTGAGTTAGTGGCTTGGTTACCGGGGTAGCTTCAAGCCCCTGCCCGCGGCTCCTGTCCTGATGGCCCAGCCCAAGACTCTGAGGCTTCACCTTCCAGAGAAGCCAGGGCCAGGGGCCGGCCCCCCACCCACCCCAGGCTGGACAGACAATGAGACTCAGGAGGGCAGCCCTTGACCTGCCGGCCGCGCCCATGCCCGCCCCATGCCTGGGGCAGAGAGCAGCCGAGGTGGGGGGCTGGGCCGCAGCCGCCCACGTGCCCCCACATTCCCTCTGCGTTCTTTCCATTTTTCTCTAAACTCACTTTCTAAAAACTTAAACACATTTATTTAAAAGGGAAGTTTTATAGCATACTACAAATGGAAAACAAGCCTCTTTTGCCATAAATAGAATTCATAATCATAAAAATAAATTCAGTGGAAACAAAACAATGTTATTAAATTCTGGTTGGATGCTGCAGCCCAGGGGAGGCTCGGAGCCCCAGGCCTGCTATCGCTTTATTAAAAACGGAGAGCAGCGAGTGGACAGAGGTGTTCGAGGGGTGCACCAGCCCCGATCGGAGACTTCCTTTTTGATGTAATCAGAAGCACTGACGATAATTAAATTGAGAGTCACTTTCTAATAAAATTATTCTGCATTATTTTATGCTGTGTCAGCACGGGATGCATTTGGCTGCACGACAGAGACCTGTCCGTCATGTGGTTGGACCCCACAGGGGGATTCATTTTTTCTTGGAAAGGGGGCAGCAGTGGGGGTGGTGCACAACCCAAGGAAGTGGGCAGTGATCCAGGTTTCGTATAGCTTCCTCCTGGGCCCTTTTTGCATTTGTCCTCATGGCCTCAGGGTGGCTGCTGCACCTCCAGCCATTGTGTGTGCATCTTGGCAGGAAAGGGGGGGGCACAGCGAAGGGGGTGGCGCTGGCTAAGTCTTCCTTGTCAGGAAGGTAACAGTGGACATCTGAGCCTGTTCTCTCGCCCACTGTGGTCCATTACCGCCTCACACGGGGGCTCTTACTGAGACGTGTTTATCTAGTTGAGACGTGTTTACTTCGTCCCTGTTTTCCAGACCCCTGCTCTTGTGCTGTTCCCGAGGTCACATGCTGGCCTTTGTGAGATGAGTCAGGGCCCTATCCCAGGCCTGCTCCAGGGGCCTGGGCCTCCGCCTCAGCTTCCCCCAACACGTGGCCCCTGCTTCCTGCCTCCACCCCCGGGTGCCCTCGCCAGCTGCAGGGTGTGCAGGTTCAAGAGCCTGTCGGCCTGAACGGAACTGCCCTGGATGGGGAGCCGACCCTCTTCTCCCCGCCCACAGCCCTCTGGGGCCTCTTCCTTCTTCGCAGGGCCCCTCCTGCACGTGTGTGTGTGTGTGTGTGTGTGTGCACGTGCACGCAGGGCAGGGCATGCTGCAGGGGCCACCCTTCTGCCCTTAGGTCTTTTTTTTTAAATATATATATTTGTTACTGATTTTTTTTAGAGATCGAGGAAGGAAGAAGGGAGAGAGAAACATTGATTGGCCGCCTCCTGCACGCCCCCTACTGGGGATGGAGCCCACAACCCGGGCCTGTGCCCTGACCGGGAATCGAACTGAGACCTCTCAGTCCCTGGGACACGCTCAGTCCACTGAGCCACACCGCCTGGCTCTGCTCCCAGGTCTTAATTTGCCTCTTCATTTCCACCAGAATGAGGTCCCTGGCCTTAATTAGCAAGAGAAGGGGCAGGGCCTCCGGTGCCCTGCCTCTGGCCTCACTTTCTCTGGCTCCCTGGGGACCCCTTGTCCTTGCAGCCTGGTTCGGGGTCACACCTCTTCCACACAGCCCATCCCTGCCCCAGGCTTTGCCCTGCAGCCTGAGCTCCCTCTTCCCGCCTCCCCTCATAGACCCACTGCTGCCTCTGACCTCTGGCCTCTGACCCACTGTGCAGCCAGGGGCAAGTCACTTAACCTCTCTGTTCTGTCTGAGTGATGGGGTGATGGCAGCCACTGTGGGCTCTTTGCTTAAGGAACGGAGGCACCAGGAGCACCCCACCTGTGCCTCCCCTGGTGGGTGTCCCATGATCCTGAGGGGTTGTGTGTGCCCTGGCCCTGCCCTCCCCCTGCTCAGCCCCAGACCTGCCCCCCGCTGCCGGCAGGACCAGCCCAGGGCCCTGCACAGTGCTGACCCCCTGCGCCAAGGGGACTGGGGCCTGCGTAGAACTTGTGTGAACGGTTCTCCCAGGACGGGTGGCAGCCAGGCCTCGCCCAGCACAGCGGAGCGCGTCGTGATGGCTGGCCCTGGCAGCCCTGGCAGCTGCTGCCTTCCGTGAGGAGCCCCAGAGCTTGAGTGACACGCCGAGGCCGCCATCCGCAAGTGGCAGTTCCCTCTGCAGACGGGCTCTCATCCCTGTGCTCCAGCCTCGCCCGAGGGCCGAGAGGCCCGCCCAGAGAAGGCCAGGGCGCCTCGGGCCTGCACGCACGGGGAGCCAACACGGCCGCCTAAGGCGTGTGTGCCCAGGGCCCTGCCGCTCACAGTACACTCCAGACGTCACTGTGTCTGCCACCCCTAAAGCTGGCATTACCCCCGGGCCCCTCGCCACTGACATCCTGATCATCCTTGCATGCCTCTGTCGACGGGGAGCTCAGCCTCACTCCGCTGTCCATTCCTTTTCAAAACATTTAAAAATGTATTATACAATATTTCAGATGTCTCAAATATTTAAGAGCCCTCTAATAAATATTTTACTAATTATTAAATATTAAATACAGCCAAAGATATGAAGAATAATATCATGAATACTAAAAGCTCTCTCTTCCGGCTAAAATCTCACCCCACGCCAAGCCCATGACAGCCAAGCCCTGGACTCGACCAGACAACCCCCGGAAGCCTCCCTGTCCCCTCAGAGCCCACCCCGTCTTTCTAGGCTCCTGCTCGTGGTGGCCTGTGCGTGACGCGCAGTGCGTCTTCCCTGGGGAAGCGTGTGCCCCGCAGTGCCTGCCGCTGTCGGCATCCGCCCCACAGCCTCCAGAATGTCTCCTTCTTGCCCTCCCGCCCCCAGGGGAGCCTTTGCTAATCTTTGTGCCGGTTGTTCTCAGACTCTGTCTGGGGATCCGGGGGTAATGCCAGCTTTAGGGGTGGCGGACACGGTGGCGTCTGGGGTGTGCTTGTGCCCTGGGCACACACGCCTTTACGTGGCTGCGTGGGGCTCCTGCGCGTGCTCGTGACGCCGTGGCCTTCTCTCGGTGGACCTCACGGCCGGGTGGGGACGCCCCTCTCGGCCCCTCGAGCGAGGCCGCAGTGGGCACCTGGCAGTGGCCAGCCTGAAGGCTCTGTCTGGGCATCTCCTTTGTCTCACTTTCCGAGTCACTGGGGCTGAACCCTCCCTCTGCTCTTTTCCATGCAAGGGGTGGGGAGGGGGTGCAGCCTGGGGACGGTCCGCAGTGCTGAGGGCTGCTCCGGGCGTCCTGCCTGCCCCAGGCTGGCTCCCCACCCGACGGGGCTTCTGTTCACCCCTCACGGTGCCCACCACTGCAGCCCCGTCCTGACCCCGTCCGGCTGGGGCCCTGGCCCTGTGCGCGGCGGGCCTGCAGTGCGCGTGTGTGCTGGGCTCGGCCGGCCCAGGCCCGTACCCCACCCGGGGCCTCTGCTTCCTGCCCCCAGCCCCCTGTTGGGGTCAGGCTCCCCTTGGAGCTCCGAGCAGGGGTGAGAACCAGGGCCCCGCCTCTGCACTGCCCTGCCCCCTCCCCACAGGACAGCAGCCCT